GAGGATTAGGAAATCTTTATTATTATTATTTTAGGAGAGCTGTACTTTTACAAAGTCGCTTTTTCTAGTATTTTATTTATGGTAACATTAAGCGATTCGCTTTATTTTGCAGAACTTGATCGCTTTTATTCAGAACACGTGATTTATGATTTATGATAGCTGGATAAAAATGTCGAAAGTTTCAGTTTTACAAATCCTTTTTATTCAGGCAGTTCTTCAGGTTACAAGAAAGCTATAAAAATCAGCAGTAAAAAGGAATCCCATCATTTCGAAAATGGGAAGCAATAAAAATTCACTGAGAAAATCGAGATCATTCTTTATAATATATTCCAAAGTGCGATTTATTGAAGTTATCTCAATATTCTTATTAATATGGAAATTTATTTGAAATATATAATTTACTATTAAGTTTGTGCGAGCTCTACTTATTTTATTACATAGAGCAAATTGGCTGATTAATTTTTAAAAATTCCCATCTTCGAATTTTAGTATTTATAGTTTTATTAATTATACTGTAGTATTGTGTGGCCCCAACTTGTCAGCAACCGTAGTAGTGACTGCTATGAACTGTAAATTTACACAAACACGTAAGAAGGGTTTAAAGCCCTTTTTATTCCACTTTAGAAATAACAGCTGCGTTCACTTGACGCTCACAAACTACCCCGACTCGGCAGTTTAACAAAGACAGAAATGTGAAACTAAAAATTAATGACAGGATGAATAAACAACTAGATCACTACCTACGAGGTTCTGAAATCGTAACTAACATAACCGCGTTCTAAAATATAGCTGAGATTCAGCGAGCTTACTGATTAAGCAGTTGAAAGATTCAGCGAACTGCCGAGATAGGCACACAGGCATATTCACAAAGCCTACAGACCATTTCTCTACAATGTGCTCTCATTGGATAAAACATCTGCTTGTCGGTCATATTTGGAATGGCGAGTTATCGTCTTGTAGGCGTGGTAATTAACGTCAAACAAACCTTGTAGGCTTTCAGTACAGCGAGGAGAAACAGCTGTTATTTCATTCGATATTTTTTTATTTTATGAATGAAAGCTAAGGAGAATTCTGTAGAATATATTTAAATAACCTACTGATCTTATTAATAGTTTATTTGTATTTAAACTTAAACTGTTGAAAGAACGATAATTGTTTTGCAATACAAAGTGTTTACAATCAATTCAATAAACATTTAAGCGAGTCGGATACTTATTCTTTTAACCTAAATTATGAGTAAGTAAAATTAAAATTATTTTATTCCTATTATGCTCTGTTTGCTATTGTAACGCTTTTCGGGTATCTTGGATCATAATCTTGCTAACTGGATACCTACTACAAAGAGTAAAACCAGTAGATAAAAATAAGAAAAATTAGCGTTAACAAAAATAGAGCAAATGAAGGTGTTGAATTTTTTAACACCGCACCCGAAGGCAAAAAGACCAATAATGACAAAGTCATTCAATAAAGTGAGGATAAAAACAAATTCGTCCAGAGCAGAGTTCGTAAAAGTTCACGACCGGCGATATAGAAGTCAGGGAAGTTTTTCCATCCTCGTTGCCGTTGAGCTGCGGTTTCGCCGTTGGATTTCGCACACTTTTCGGTACAGGAGGCTGATAGACAAACAGTATAGGCGATGAAGGAAAAGTCGCCAAGTACAAGATTCTGTAACCCTACGTTTCCTGTTTTAACCAATCGGAGCAAAAAGTAGAAGAAACTGTCTGTAGGCTTTGTGAAAATGCGGCAGACAGGCTGAAACGCGTGGTTCTTAAATTTCTACCTAGCAACCTTCACATTAGCGATTCAAGAAGCACACTTACAAACTCGTTTCCCTTCTATTTAAACTCAACTTACTTCTGCTAAAATTTGAATATACTGCGCGTTCTACTACCATTTACATACTCTGGCATTGGCAATTCTAGGGGAAAGTAAAGGCTTGACAGGAAAGAAAGCTTAAAATAAATGTTAGTTAAAATAAATATAAACCCTACATTTGCCGCTGCCAGAATTTGGTAAACTTGGAAGACTCACGAGCCCCGTTTACATAACACAAACTTTTGCCTAAAACATTTACAATCGTTTCTGTACATGGATAGGATACAATATCTTCTTACAGGATCCTTTCTGCTGTTTGGTCTTCATCAATTCAATCTTTTTCTCTTCCTTCCAGCATGCTGGAAGGAATAAGTATCAGTATATTGCAAATAAATTATGATTTACACTTTCTTAACACTCGATAAAGTTTTCGTTTTCGATCCTTTTCTTTTCCTTAATTAACTGCTTACATTCACATTCATTCAAATATTCAACCATGAATTTAACTTTACCCTAGTTCTTCACCATGTGTGGTGTCAAACGGGAATCTTCGTGTTTTTGTATTACAACACTTCCCCTAACCACAATGATTTGTTAGAATTCAAACGACCAACTATGACACACCTTAATCCAACAAACTGAAACTCGATGAGCTATGTTTAACATTCTTAAATTCAAGTGTAGGTGGAGAACCCTAAAAAACACATTCATTCTAATTTTCTCCCGCATTCATTTTTAGACATGCAGGCTTTCGCTCTAAAGCATGATTTTATCTACTGTTTAATACTTAGATTTGAACTCGTTTCTTTTGAGCATTTACTTTTAGCATCTAAAATTTTATGCTTCTAGACTAAATTCTACCTTTACATAACTTTCAAGTATTTACCTATATTTACAAAATTCTAATATATATGATTTTTACAATTTACCATAAAATGAATAAGAGAAAATAAAAATTTACTTCACGCTTTCTTCGCCAAGCTGGCAGCACTGAAACTAAATTTTACATTAATACAAGAATACGAAGTTATTTTACTTTCGGCCAAATTTTGGCTTTAACATAACAGAACCAGTCTTTCGACCAACACGAACTGCTTGCTCTTAGATTTTATACTTTCCTTAGCTAAATACAGTAAAACAAAACTAAGTCTCAACCGAGACAAATTGACTTCCATCAACACATAGAACTTCGTATTTACACATAACATTTCAGAACAAAAGAAAAATTTATAGAAGATTTTAACTTATCTTTGACATTTCGATGCTTGGAACTCCGGCATCCTTTTCTGGCAAAATTGATCCCAAGTTACAGAATTCATGGAAGTCAACATCCTCTTCTGGTTTCTTCGAGTTTCCTCCATGGTGACTTTCCTTTCTCGCCCTCTGTACGCCGGCCCCTTGGGGTGGTAGACTTCGGGCTCCTGTCTTTTGCGTTTGGCCCCTATGACGGCTGGTCTTGGCGGCCTTCGGTCTATCCGGCCCTGCGTATTAGTGCTGTGCATCAGTAACAGTAGTGATAAGTGCAATTGAATGAACCAGTGTTTTTGTGTGTTCCGTGTATAGTGTATTTCAGTACTAAGTACTATATTATCACGTACTCAGTGTCTCTAAGTGGCAACAGAGACTACCTGAGAGACAACGCCAGTGAATACAGGCCAATTAAATGCATCATGCCACGTCAAGCTGTACTACCAATTGACGGGGACGTAACTCCCAGCTGCACAAATTTAACAGTGTTACTGACCTCTGACCTTACCTACGAGAGTAAAGTGGATACAGTTCACGAACATATCAAAAGCGGAGTACTTACGTATAGAGGTGGTAAGTACTGTCTGCCCACCAATCTTAGAGAGGACTTACTACAGGCGTTAGAAGCTCTGCGAAAGTTAGCCACTTGAGGGTCCAACCCCTATAGTCAAGCCACCAACAACCGAAGCAAGTACAAACACTTCAACAGTGCTGTGTTGTGATCTCGCACACGGCAGCAGTCCGAGCACAGTGCAACAGGACAACAGCATACACGAGGAGTCGCAGCAACGGCACGTACAGCAGCAGAAAACCTACGCGGCAGTTACAGCGAAGATAAAAAGTCAACACCAAGTGGCAGCGCCAAGTCACACGCTACTAATATATCCGAAGGAGGCCACCTGCTCTACGAGCCAGGAACTCAAAACTAAACTCAGCGAGGTGTTCCCACTGCCAAAGCTAGGAGTAAAGGTCGCGGCTATAAGAAACATACAAAAAGGAGGACTGGCAGTTGACTGCCACTCAGAGAACGATCTTAATAAGCTGCAAAGCTCACTGACAAGTGATAAAGGCCAAGAGTTAGTGGACATAAAAGTTCCGGCCACACGCCTACCAAGAATTGCCATACACGGAGTCTCAGTTGATATACAGGAGACAGAATTGGAACGTACTTTAGCATCAGAATTCAATGCCACCAAAGCGACAGCCAGAATCCTCTACAAACTCCGGGACAGATGGAACACTGTCAAGTGGGTCATTGAGTGTCAACCATCTATCTTCAAACGCCTCCTGCAGACCCCAAGACTTTACATTGGCTGGCGAGTCTATAGAATCTCGGAGTTTTTTAACACCAAGCGGTGTTATAAGTGTCAGGAATTTGGCCACGTCCAGAAAAACTGCAAAAATAGAAACTACTGCGCGTTCTGTACAGACGACCACGAAGTGCGAAACTGCCGTGCACAACGACCTGCTTGCATTAACTGCGCGGACTACAACTACAGGACCGGCAGAAGCATCTCTTGTAACCACCCTGCCTACGATGTCAACTGCCCGTCGTACGGCAGGTACGTCGCTACAATCAGAAGAGGCACAAAATATGACTGAGCCGCAACCGCCTGATCAACAACTGACAGCATCGCGTACCCCAGGAGACTCTATAAAATGTATTCAAATAAACCTGCAGAAGGCAGAAGCCGCAACGGCGCATCTTGCACAGCACGCAGTAACCCATAAGCCAGATATACTCTTAATACAGGAGCCGTACTGCAGAACTGGAGAGGTGGCATGCCTACCAATTGCCTGGAAGATTTACCAGTGCAAAGCCGCAGCAAATGAACCTGCACCAAGAACTGCAATAGTTTGCTGCAACACAGCCTGGTCGCCTCTCATTATAAAGCAACAGCGAGACCACGTAGCAATACTATTAAGTTTTTGCGAGGATGCAGTTAATTATCTCTTCAATTTACAGCCCCCCTCCAGATGACATTCAAGAGACTATTTCAAGCATTGAGGACATTAGCTTTAAGTACCCATCGATCCCGCACTTACTCGGTGGTGATTTCAATGCCCATAGTACCATATGGGGGTATCCCACCACCACCCCTAAAGGGCAACTGCTAGAAGATTTCCTGAATTCTAACGGCCTTCAAATTATCAATGCACCTCATGCACAGCCAACCTTTGATAATACCTACCATCAGGGCTGGCCGGATATCACTATCACTACCCAGGACATCGCCAACAATGTCCATGACTGGCAGGTGGCCGAAGACGAAAGTTGTTCGGACCACCGATATATTTACTTCAATATAGAAGGTGATACGAGCATTAGCATACTCAGGAGATTTAAGTTACCAAAGAATAGAATACAGGCACTCACAAGGGCCTTTTCGCAGGCGCTTCAACAAAAGGAGCAAGCGTTGGATTTATGCAATAATCAGAATGACCTTAATGACCATACAGAACAACTTCTAGACACCATTCGATGCATATGTGATCAATACCTGCCCACCAGGACTGCAAAACGACTACAGGGTATTGCGTGGTGGACGAAAGAACTGCGCCAACAACGGCAGAAGTGCAGGGCGTTAAGACGCCGTCTACGCTCTACGACAGACGAGGAAGCAAAGATTACAATCCTCGCAGCATTCAGAAAGGAAAGAGCAGCGTACAAGATTAACCTCCTAAAGGCGAAGATCGCCAGCTGGCGGAAGTTCTGTACGGAGAACTCAAATCCATATGGAATACTGCACAAACTAGCAACCTCCAAAGTCTTCAAGCCGGATCATCTGTACGCCAAGACCACAAATCCACCCTCCACCGGCAACATAGCAGAAGATACTGCTACCACATATCTGAATGCAGCCTTCAGGGAAGATAACCCAGAGGATGACACGCCACAACAAAGACTAACAAGAGACTGTCAAGACGTCCCAGATACCCCGGATGATATCCCTTTCGAAACGGAGGAGATTAAGCAAGTCTTCAAATATCTTCCGCTCAAGAAAGCGCCAGGCCCTGACGGACTGGACTATGCAATCATCAGAGGGTCGCATACACTGCCTGCCCAACATACTTCAAGGCCTTCTTTAATAAATTGCTAAGACAGCAGATATTTCCATCGGCCTTCAAAAAGGGCCAAGTCGTATTCTTTCTTAAAAAGAATAAATCACCAGAAGACCCCAGCTCCTACAGACCGATATGTTTATTGTCTGCGCTGGGGAAGGTTTACGAGAAACTTCTGGTGAATAGGCTAAAGTACCACCTTCACCGTACCAAATTCCTTAGCAATAACCAATATGGGTTCAGAACTGGCCTCTCTACAGTACACGCTCTAGATAAGATCAGAAGCCACATTAACGATAATAGAGCCAATAACCGGCACACGGCATTTATATCACTAGATCTTCAGAGTGCCTTTGACTCCCTCTGGTGGCCTGCAATCAAGCAGGCCCTCAGGGAGGCAAAGTGCCCCAGGAATCTATATAACATCTTCAACGATTATCTGGACTCAAGAAGTCTCATAATCGCAAACAATAGTGGTGTCTATACAAAGAAGCAGGAGAGGGGCTGCCCACAAGGCTCTTGCGCGGGGCCCCTGCTTTGGATAATTACGTTCAATGCGCTACTGCAACTCAATTGGCCTGACCACACCAAAGTAGTGGCGTATGCCGATGATGCGGCACTACTAGTTACTGGCCGTACGCGAGACGAACTGGAGAGGAACGGCTCCGCCACTTGCTCCAAATTCTATGACACGTGCCAAAAGCTGAAACTCGTTATCTCAGCCCAGAAATCTACGGCCATGGTCATACCGCGTCCAGGTACAAACCCCACGAGACGACCTTGTATTAAGCTAATGGGCAGAAACTTGAAAATCACCAAAACGTTGAAATACCTTGGAGTCACGTGGGACCAAGGCTTGACCTGGCTACCACATCTACAAGAAGTCAAAGTCAGAACAGCTAACATTGCAAAGAAAGCCAGGCAGTTTCGGGGACAAAACTGGGGGCAGAACCCTTACATTCAAAAACTGCTCTACTTGACGGTTGCAGAAAGGATTGTACTCTATGCCTCAGCTATTTGGGCACTACCAATGGAGCAGCCGTAAAATAAAAGCCCTGTCAGCAATTCAAAGACCTTTTGCTCTCAACATTAGCAAGGCATATAGAACAACCGCGACAAATGCAGCACTTGTGCTTACCGGGCTCACACCCCTTCACATCAGGGCCAAGTTAGAAGCAATATATGAGCGGGTAATAAGATTAAAGGAGAATGCTGCACTCGACAACACAGTCTTCAGCACGCTGCAGTACGAAACACCAGGCAGCACACAGCACATAAAAACTCGGGCATACACGTCAAAATAGCAAAGAGATCTACGCCGCGAATAGAGTATGTACCAGTCGCCTCGCAATTCTACACAGATGGCTCCAAACATGATAACGGAGTGGGTTGTGCTTATGCTTATTATGAGCATGGTACACTTCACAGTCAATGGAAAGGTCATCTTGCAGCTGACAATAGTATCTTCCAGGCGGAGGCCATAGCAATTGAAGCGGCAATACAGTACGCACATGACATACAACTTGCACGAACAGAAATCTGCACAGACAGCATGTCAGTGCTGCAGGCATTTAAGAATCATCATCACACATCTCCCATAATCCTGCAAATCCAACAGACATTGCATAGCAACCAGCAATCTAACATCAAGCTAAAATGGGTAAGAGGCCACTCTGGGATCGCAGGCAATGAGATGGCAGATCAACTGGCCAATGAGGCAGCAATCAACAATAATGCACAGGCTGTCTCAGCACTAATCCCGCCGTCATTTTTAAAAAGACAACTAAGAGACATAGGGAATAAACAATGGCAACACGAATGGGAGAATGGAGATACCGGCAGAAGGACTTTCGAGTTCTACCCTGTAGTAGATAAAGAACGCTTACAGGCCATACCCCCTTTAGTAAACTATATCACGGGGCATGGCCCTTTTCCCACCTTCTTTTATAAGCGTGCTATTTCCATGACAGAAGCGTGTGTGGGGGGGAAATTGGCTCCCCCGACCACTACGTGTTCAACTGTAGCCTCACGACGAGCCATCACCTACCATATCCCACTACGGATATAGTACCTTACAAGAGGTTCATCATCAAACACGCACCTGCGATAAGAAATATATGTAAAATTATACAGCAGCTGAGCGCTCTAGGGCAGGATGTCTGCCAACCAACATAGGAATAATAGCATACACAGCGCAATAATTCTATGTCTGTATTGTAACTTAGCAGGTGTTATGTCTAAAATTGTAAATATGTAAGTGTATAAGTAACTGTGTAATGTAAGTAATGTAAGTAATTTAATCAATGAGTGTAATACGTCATACTATGTGTACTTTTAACATAACGTAATCGGTAATGTAGTCATTAGCGCGTGCCCCATGTGTATTATTTTAAGTAACGCATATATGATTATAAGGCAAAGTATGTGTGCCTATCTTGTTATATATCATAATGTCATTTAAGAAGTAATAGCAATAATGTAAACTATAAGTAATCCAGTTATAAAGTAACTTAGCAAGTTCGCAATACCATTAGCTTAACGTAGTATACAGTCAGGTTATAACTCTAATAAGTGTAGATTAATCTCATGCATTATGTATGTGTAGTCTAATGTCATGTGAAGTGTAAGTATGTATGTACTAATTCATGCAAGTATTATGTATAAGTTTAATGTCATGTCATATCATGTATGTAATGTTATGTTTCATGTATGCATTATGGCCTATGAACACCCAGGTCAACCATTAACATAAGAATCTGTACAGAACCAATGTCAAACTGGAATAGCCCTTGTATGGCCATGTAAACTTTTTCATGAAGGCTCAGTAACTCCCGGTGCGCCCTTGTGGGACCCCAGGGAGTTCTTGTATCTATATAGGGGAGGGCGTGGGACATATGCCTGTTTACCTCCGTTAAACACCAGGCGTCCCCGTCCTCCGTCACCTGTCACCTGGCCCTGGAAGTGTTTTCCTCGACGCAGATTTTCTACTGTGGAAAGTTGTACCTGGTCTTTTCCTGTTTACCAAAAGATTCTTTACGAGGCTCTGTTGATTTCCTGCATTTCTTGAATGCTGGAGTCTGACCATTTTCCTTCCTTCTTTTCGGGCCCTAGAATGACTTGTAGAAGGGCTATGTTCCTCTTCTGTTCTCCGCTTCTTGGGTGGTGGAGCGGGCGGCGTTAATTCTGAAATTTCCACTTCTTTTGCGCTTCAGTCATGTAAGAAGAAACTTCTAAGGATTTCGAAATCATTTTGATTATAATTTTTTTTACCTGGTCGGGACTTGCTTTACAGGTTTCCCCTCTCTCGTTCTTAAGGTACAATACGACTCCCTTGATTTCCTGTTTTACATAGGGGCCTTCAAACTTCGGAGCCAATTTTGCAGTGAAATTATCTGGGGCACTTGATAAAGAAAATTTCCGCTTTAACACTTTATCCCCTACTTTAAAATCTGCTTCACGGCGTTTTCGAGCATAGTAAAGTTTCTGTCTATTTCTTGCCGTATTCGAACTTTTAACCGCCTGATCAATAAGTTTCTGTATATCTTTTTGTTTAAATTCTTCTTCCCTTTGTTGCACAAAGAATAATTATACTAGTGGCGTAATTAACTTACGTCCTAAAAATAATTCTTGCTGGAGTTTTTCCAGTAGTATCATGATTTGCTGTTCTTAAAGCATAAGCTAACTCGTTTATGTAGCCATGCCAGCGCTTGTGATGTGTGCTAACATAGCTTCGAATTATTTTTACAATATTTTTATTAACTCTTTCTGCGATGTTTGCCTGGGGTCTATACGGAACCATTTTGATATGGCGTATGCCAAATCCAGAGCAAACGTTTTCAAAAATTTGGCTAACGAATTGTTTACCGTTATCGCTAATGACTTTTACCGGTGCACCGTATTTTAAAATGTACCTGTGTAAGAATGCATCTGCAACCGTTTTGGCTGACGCGCGTTTAAGTGCGACAATTTCTGTCCACTTTGAAAAATGATCTACAATTACTCAAAGAAAACGATTTTTATTTAACTCACTCTGGGGAAAAGGACCAAGAAGATCTATGCCTAAAATTTCATTCGGAAATGTAGCGCGAATGCTATTTAAGTACCCGGCCGGGCTGTAATTAATATCATTTATTAATTGACATTGATTCCAGGACCTGACATGCGCAGTTACTATTTTGTATAATTGCGGGAAATATACCGCCTCGCGTATCCTTTTTATAGTCTTTCTGACCCCTAAATGACCCGATGTTGGAGCGTTGTGTAATTCCTTCAAAATGCTCAATCGAAGAGAGGCTGGGATGACTGGTCTATATTCAAAATTTTCGTTTGTTGACTTCGTATAAAACAATAAATAATCTATTATTTCATAGTTTTCTGCTCTACTTCTTATTGCGGCGACATCTGTATGTTCAAAGATTTCGGGGTCTTTTAAATAAGCATAGATACTTCCAAATTCAGGATCAGCTTTCAATTCAGCAATAATTGTTTCTCTAGAATCTAAAATTTTTTTAGAAACAAAAGTCAACACAGCGCATTTGAGTTCATTCCCTTCATCGTCCCAGTTTTATTCGAGATAGTGCGTCAGCTACATTGTTTTCCTTTCCCTGGTTTATATTTAATTATTAGATTATATTCTTGAAGTTTTAAAGCCCATCTTATTAACCTGGGCGTTAGGTTTTTTCCCCGAGTAAAGTCTACCAACAGCCGCATGATCCGAAAAGACTGTTACTGGCGCTTTGCCGAAATAAACTCGAAATTTCTGTACAGCCATTAATACGGCTAATGTTTCTCTCTCTGTAGCTGTATAATTCCTTTGCGTAGAATTTAAAGTTTTACTAAAAAATGCCAAAGGATGCCCATTCTGCATGAGAACTGCACCTACGGCATAGTCCGACGCCTCTGCTGCAATTTCCAGGTTTTCGTCCCCTTCCGGGAATTTCAAAACAGGGGCATTGATGAGTGCTTCTTTTAAACCTTTCAAAATGCTGTATTTGCTTCTGCTGTCCACGTAAACTTACTTTTTTCTTCTTTTAATTAC